TCTCTCTCTCTCTCTCTCTCTCTCTCTCTCTCTCTCTCTCTCTCTCTGTGTGTGTGTGTGTGTGTGTATGTGTGTATCAGGCCAAGCAACCCCAAGTCATTTGCCTTTGCTTTCCCCTCGTTCTGGATAGCCGGAGGGACTGGGGTGTGATGTGCAGTGAACAGGTCAAGCCAGCTCTCACCTCCTTCAGCCAATTTCTCTGTTTTCTTTCTCTTTCTTTCTTTCTTCCTTCCTTCCTTCCTTCCTTCCTTCCTTCCTTCCTTTCTTTCTTTCTTTCTTTCTTTCTTTCTTTCTTTCTTTTTTGTATTACATGGGGGAGGGGTGCAAGCTGTGGTCTGCGGGTAGAGGCCAGAGGACAATCCCCTGAGTCAGTTTTTTCCTCCGACCCTATGGGTTCCAGGGGTTGTCATCCTGATGGTAAGTTCCCCTACCTGCTGAGACATCTTGTCCACCTAGTTTCTACTTCGCCTGCCTTTTTCTACTGTTATGTGTATCAATTTTTGGAGAAGGTTACTGCTACTGTAGCCTACTTGGGGGTCCAAAATGTGTCCACTGAACATCTGTTGGTTCTCACATATCTAATGGACAGGCCTGCTTTCCTCCTTCTGGAAGCTTCTCTCTCAGCCAGGAGCTTATAGCAGGAGTAAACCGTTCAGCAGGGAGCTCAGTGCCAGGGGAGGAAGAAAGCGACTTACCAACACACCTGGGACAGCATTGCTGTGGCTCCATCACAGGCTGTGAGCAGTGGAGGGGTGGGCACCGGAGGCGGTAACAATTCACGTGGCCATTCTGAAAGAGATGCAGGGTCAGGCCTCATTCCCAAGAACCATAGCCTCCCATCCGCAGGGGTTCTCTCCCCGACCTCCACCTCAAATGCAGAGTCCTACTTGGTCTTAAGCCTATGTATAATAGGGTTAAAAAAAAAAAAACCTCAAGTGAGCCCCATCCCTACTCTGCCCACTAAGTGGATCTCACTTAGCCTACTCATCTGCACCCGTCACCGAGGGAAGACAGACCTGTCGTGGGTTTGCTCAGATCTCTTGGCCCCTTTGTGGGTATGAGAAATGGAAGTGAAAGCCTTGCGCTATCTTGACAATGATCTTGGTGCTCCGCCCAGGCTATTTTTAACTCTACAACTTTTTTCTTATAGTGCTGACCCCGGGCCTCTTGTTCAGAGGAGGACTGTAATACAAGACAGCAGTGACCAGGACATGACTAAACATCTAGTGTGGAAAAGACTTGGGGCTTTATCATCCTTCTCCGAGTCTACGAGGCTCTGTGGAACCCTGGATGAAGCCTCTGGGATTGGCACCAGGGAGCTCAAGTTCTTTCATCTCTTCAAGTCCAGCAGGTGAGAGAGAGTCAGACAGAGGAATACACATAGCAAGAGATGAACAGAGGCAAAGAGAGAGGTCCCAGCTCCTTCCAGAGGTGTCCTAGAGCACCAAGGCATCTCTCAGCCCTTCCTCAACCTCCCCACACCTCGCTCTTGCCCCTGTGACCTGTCTACCCTATTCAAGCATGGACTCTGAAGCAATGATTGGCACAGGGCCCTGATTCTAAGCAAGCAACCACTAAAATCTAAAAGTATGAGGGTGGTGGGAGAAGAGAGAGCCGGGGGTCAGACATGGAGGCTCTCAAATGAACGGAGCCCGCACTGTTTAAACCCTAGTGTTAATTAAGCTGGCCCCGGCCCTCTTGCATGTAGTTCTCCTTTACTGCCCTCTGCTCAGCAGAGGTTGTAGACAAGACTTCTCCCAGAAGCAGCCTTTTGTACCAAGGAAGACCCTAGACTGTCCGAATGCCTCTGGAGTCCCTGCTTCCTAAGGTGGCCCAAGAGAATGGTCAGTGGGAAAGAGTGTGCTCGGAGCCACAGACATGGCTTGTGCTTCAACAGTGACTTCCTAGAGATCCCACACCTGGAACTCAGTCAATCTTAAGAAGGTGAATGGAGACCCTTGGAGAAGCAAGACAGACTTTGAGGGATGTGTGGTCTAAAGATCTAGAACCTTTCTCTTGGCTCTTGCTGAAGCTTCCAGAAGGAAGAAAGCAGAAAAAGGCAGCCTGGGGGTAACAGGCATGTGGCAGGGCTCTTTGTGACCAGAGGGAACTTCATTGTAAGGTCAGATCCATCATATTTGGAATAGATGACCTCACTTTCTGACTCCAACACTCGCATCCATAGTCGGTGCAAAGACTGTCCTTGAGGCTGTCTGAGGTCACACAGCAGCTAAACACTATGACCAGGGGCCATGGCTTTGTGGGATGCCAGGACAGTCTGGGTGCTTCTACTGAGCACGGGCACACAACCAGAAGTGACACTCTTGTTCTCAGGAGCCTGCATCCTCGTGGCTGGAGATGGACCAGAGGGCAGTTAGAAGCTGGGGCAAGCTAACTTCAGGTGTTATGTTTATGGCCATGACCAAACCAGGTGATGTGATTAGAAGACATATTTGGAGAGTGTAAGGGAAACCCTCCCAAGGAGGTGACAGTCACATTATGAACCAGGAAGGGGAAAGCTGTCATTCATGACATGAGAGAAGACTATCAATGGAGGGAATAGGTGAGAATGTTTCAAATGCTGCAGGTTCAGACATCAGGCTGGTGTAGCTGCAGCGAGGGCATGGAGTAAGAAGCAAGGGGAGTGTTGATCATGCAGAACTACCAGTGGGCTGGGCTAGAAGAGTACTTGCCTAGAACACATGAAGCCCTGGGTTCGATCCCTAGCACTGCAGAAAGTAAGCACAGTGGCACATGCCCATGACCCCAGCACTGTTGAGGTATAGGCAGAAGGATCAGATGTTCAAGGTTATCCTCCGATGCATTTGAGGTTAGCCTAGGCTACATGAAACCCTATCCAAATAAAGGGGGTGGGGCTAGTGGATGGCTTTAAGAGCTAAGAAACACTACAGGTCTGAGTTTAGGGAAGATCATTCTAGCTGCCCTGTAGAGAGTGGACTTTGAGAGAGGCAGCAGAGACCTGTTGGCAGGCCTGTGCAGCTGTCTCACTAGGTGGCTTAGCTGGTGAGGAGAGGCAATGGTGGAGGGAGGTGAGGTGTTCAGGCTGCACTTTGGAGATATGGGCAGCAGTCCTTTGGGCCGAGGAGGAGAAGCTACATGTGTGAGGGGAAGGAGACATGAGTAAGTGCCAGTGGATCACAAAACTTGGCCTTTGTCAACTGGACCACGTGACCTGTCTGGAATTTTCTGTTATGGTTTCCTTTCTGTTTTCTGGCTATATTTCATAGAGCTTTTAAAAAATGGCTTATTGGCTTCAGATGTGCTAAGGATAAAAAAAAAAAGAAGAAAAAGGCAGCTGGAGCCTTGGAGGCGGGACTTGCATCCCTGTTTGTGTCTGAGTTCTACCTAAAGCTAACATTATGGGAACAATGGGTAGAGAGAGGGAAAGACCCAGGAAGGAGCAGGCCCAGTGGAGATGAGGACTGTGTCACTTGCTCCCCACTCAAGTCCTCTTGGGACTCTTCTCTGCCCTTGGAGTTTCTCACTTAACCACACAGGCTCTTAGAGCTTCTGCCTCTTCCATCTCTTGGTCTGCGAGTAAAAGAAGGTGCAGAGGGCCCAAGATCCAGAAGCCCCCAGCATCACCCAGAAAATGAGTTCAAGACCTCCCAACTGGGACCTGTTGTCTGGCATCCCCTCTGGCCTGCTCCTGTTCTCCCATTCTCACACTTTCTTTGAGAATTCTGGGTTGCACGGGCCTCCTTTATCCTACCCAACTGACTGTACAAGGCCCAAGGAAGAGCTGCGACAGTAAGAGTTTGGATGTTGAATGACCCCGAAGGTGCATGTGTTAACCGTCCCAGGGTGAAGCTGCGGAAGCTCTGTGACCCCTCAGGAGATGGGATTTTGTCCTAGGTCACTGGGGGTGTGCCCATAAAGAGGATTTCTTCCTCGTTCTTTGGCTTCCTGGTCATGAAGTAAGCAATAAGGCCAACCTACCTTCGCTAGAACGTCTAAAACTGTGAGATGGCACAGACCTTTCCTGTTTATATGTTTATACGTTTATGTTTTGTTGTGTAAAGGAAAGCTGACTGATACGGTTGGGGTAGGAGGAGGTGGAGGTAAAAACAGAGTCACAGTCTCTGCCCCATTTGATTCAGCTTTTGGCTAGATGTGAGCCATGTTCTTGCGGGCCTCATCCAGAAGGTCCACATAACTGTGAACAGTAATTAGGAGAAAGAGACACATATGACCATCCAGGAAGAGCTACTTCTAGGCAGAGCTCATTTACTGCTTTAGACAAAGCCTTGGAGAAGGAATATTTGGATCAGCTGAGCTGGAGGAATGTCTATGGAGGAAGGGTGAGAAGGAAGGTTGTTGAGAATTCCCTGGAATGGAAGGAGTGTGAAGTCACAGAAGCTAGGCTGGGTAGAGTCAGACAGCAAAGCTGGCACCAACACAAACCAGACTGGAGACCAGCTCCTCACCCATTGCTGTCTCTGACAACATTATTATAGAATGGTAATTCCTCCTATCTGCTGTCTTCCAGACATACCTGATATAGGTGGCCCAGTGGCCAGAGGGACCTACCTCAGAACAGGTGCAGCGCACACAGTATATCGTGCCTTGCGGTTCCAAGTACGGGTGCCAGCTCTGGCCAGGGGTATATATCTTTTCACCAAAAAGGCAGACTTTGCCTGGGCCTGGCAAGCCAATAAGGGATGTTAGTCTCAGGAGGTTCCAACTCAAAGCCCTGCCTCATCCTTGTTCCCAGAATATCTGAGTCTGCATCTCAGCTGGACCACATGCTTACTGTTAGGCATGTTGCTGCCCCTCTCTGGGCCTTGGCAGTTTGCAGGGCTATGAGGGGATCAAACAATGAAATGCTTTCAGATCAACATTCTATGCTACAAATGGTAGTTCTTACGCATAAGTGGATGATACGAGGTCCAGAAAGGACAATTTGTATGCTAAGGCCACACAGCAGCTAGCATACCAAGCAGAAAGAAAGCCTGGAATCTCCTCACCCTCGATGCGTTGTTCCTCTGCCTCATACTCACACTCGTTTTCTTTCCTTTGTCTCATTTGTCCCTCTCCTCTCACTCTGCCTCTTACACACACATACACATACACACACACACACACACACACACACACACACACCACTCAACTTTCATATATCAGTAAAAGTGGCATTCATGGGCCGAGGAGATTGTTTAGTAGGCAAAAAGCTTGCTACACAAATATGAGGATTGGTGTTCCGAGCCTCAGCACCCATGTGGAACATCCCAAAGGTGTGCTTCCTGGTGTTCTGAGCCTCAGCACCCATGTGGAACGTCCCAAAGGTGTGCTTCCTGGAAGTCTAGTGCTGGGGAGGTGAAGGCAGGGGATTCCTGGAGAAATCTGTCTGTCTGGCCCCACTAAAGCCTCACTAGACAAGCCAAATCAGCAGCTGCTGGCTCCAAGTGACAGACCCTGACTCAGTATAAGGTGGGGAACAGTTCAGAAAGACAATGTCAACCTCTGGCCTCCACATTCATGCATGCATGTGCATGCATGTCTGTACACATACACATGCACGCATGCAACATGAACATATCACACACTGAGAGTCAAAAATCACCTTGGTTACCTCTCTGAGTCATGATTGTCACCTTAACTGACTTTCTGGTTGTCTCTGTATCCGTGGCAGTACAGGTACACGGATTATTTCTCAGAATGATTGAAACACTAGCTTGTGTTTGAAGTAAGTTAGTTGCCTTTCCTACTCCCCAGCTCTCCTAAAGCCTCCACCCCCTTTCATTTCTAACCAATCACTGTCCTCTTTGCTGGTCCAGAGTCAGGCCTCCCATTTTAACATGGCTACCTGGGTTCACTATGCCTCTCGCCCTGTCAATTGCTTGAGCTCTTCTTTTCAGAAGGAATGAGGGTGGAGGGCGTCCAGCCAGAGCCAAGTGCCTCCATTTTGAAACAGAGACAAAGAAGCCTGCAGCTCTTCTCTGTGCTGAGTGTTTTCTATACATTATTTAATGGGAGCTGTGGTATAGCTTGGTTGGGAGAATGATTGCCTCGTGCACACAGATGCTTGGGTTTGGTCCTCAGCATCACATAAAGCAGGCAGCAGGCCACTCTAGCACTCTGAAGGTGGCGGAGGAAGATAAGAAGTTCAGGGTCATCTTCAATCACATATGGGTTTGGAGCCAACTTGGGGCACATGGGACCCTATAGGATAAAAGAGTTAATGTTTTCCTAAATATTGTGTGAGAAGTAATTGCTGCAATACTTGCAAGCCTGAGGCAGCTGGCGCTATTAGTTGAATGCTCTGTGGATTACAGCACCAAGCACAGAGCCACCTCCTCTTGGACATGGCTGAATGCCAAGGAGAGGAAAACACGCTGGACCATGGACTAGGTAATTCATCCCCCAGTGCTTTGTGATGTCACGGTTACAAGGAAAGTCTATGAGAAAGCAAAGGCTTCCCCATAGAGCTCCAGCCAGTGATTTGAATCCAGGACCCCAGGGTTCAAAGAAGAGCCCAGCACCTATGCCACCCTCTAACCCAGACTCCAGGCCTATGGTCTCCACCTCCTCTCTCGGCTCCACCTACTACCACACTCTGTCCTTGCCTTTCCTCCTAGCTTGCTACTGTTCTCTAATGTAGAAGTTGCCTTTGGGGCCTCTCTCCTAACTTCTGGTGGAGCATCTTGGAAACAGGGGTTCAGATTCATGTTCTCTTAGGCTTTTAGGCTCACACTAAGTGCTATCCTTTAGCTAAGGAGAGTTTGGAAATTCTCATACAAAAACCGGGGTGGGCTGAAGAGGACCCACACCTTCATGGTAGTGGATTTTCTAGGCCATTTCTATACCTTAGGAAGTTGCTTTGAAAGAGGAAAAATACTAGTCTTCATCTGGCTTCTCACACAGCTCCTGCTTGCCCTTTTTGCCTTTCAGGACAAAGCTTTGGTGTCATTGTTATGGTGCCGTCGTCTGGCCTTGAGTGGGCCATGGAAGACTTTAGGGACACACAGGTTAGCTTTCTCCCTACCTGCTTCCCACCAACCTACTGTGAACAGTGGCACCAAACAGCAGGTCCTATCCCCCAGGAGCCAGCAATGTCTGGCTGGCCTGGCTTACCCGTATCAAATGAGCTGTGTTTATCTCTCAGCCTCTCCTGGCAGAGGGTGGAACACAGGCCCAGCTGGGGTGCTGGCTAGAGCCAGTCCAACTCTCCAAGGAGTGAATAATGTCTTTCTTCCTCAGTCCCTTCCCCCCACTAGGGAGGATTGATTGCAACACCGTGACCACCTTAGGTCTCAGTCAGTTGCTGAAGAAACCATGCCCTGCCTTCCTCGGGGCGGTCCTAAAGCCTTGGGGTTCTGTGCCAGTTGGCATGCCTTCCCCTCCCTGCCTGTTCAGAGTGTGAGGACAGGAGCCACTCAGTCAGGGCTCCTCCCTGCCACCAACATGTCTGGCAGAAGCTGGGTCTGTGGGGGGCCTGGCAAGAGGCCTTTGGTGGCCACACACTCCACCCTACCATGCCCTCTAAGGTGCCTGGAGGGCTCTCTTCCTTTAGGGAGGTGCATGCCCAAGGCCATGTGAACCCAGGAGGGGAGGAGACTGCCAAGCACATCCATCCTGGTTCCAGTGAGCCTGGCAGGAGCAGGAGCTCCTGTACAAGGCTGTTGGAAGGAGTGCTCACTCCTGAAGCTGCCAACACACAGGGTGATGTCCAGAAACATCTTACCTTCTCTGAGCCTCAGTTTCCCTATTTAGAAGATACCCTGGTCTCCAGAGGTTTTCTGCGTAGTCTATGAATGCATGATTTCAAGTTCTAAGATTCGGGATTGGAAGTTGGATGTTTGTAAAGGCTACAGTTCATCACATCATGAAACTTCTATCAGCTTGTTTGATGCTGTGGTCATAGGGTGGATTGATTATTTCACAATTCTTCGAGATTCTGATGGCTACATCCATCTCAGGGTCTCAGGCTCTCCAAGGTGTATTAGGATGAAGTTCTGGGAGCCACTGGGGCCTATCCTGAGTGCCACAGAGAAGGAGGCAGTGTGCTCTCCCCATCTCCCTCCCTTGTCCTCCATGGCCTTCTGCCTCCTCTCCCAGCCCTAGCCCAGCCTTCTCTCACCTGTCACCATTCTCTTCCCACCCACCTGCA